GTTCCGATTACACTGAAAAATCTCTTCCAAATGTGGTCCCAAACCCAACGCGGGTGGTAACTGGAGGGTTGTTTTTTCTCACAACCTTCAAGTGATGCCTTATTTATTATCATTGTATTCGTTTAAATTTTCAAAATTTATGTCTATTCATTATATATATCTCGAAATTTAAACTTATTCAATAATAATAAATATGATGGTGATCAACTGGGCAATATTAATCTTTACCGTTAACTTCTTTTGAAATTCAGTTAGTATGATTTGGCAAATGATGTTTCCCAAATGTTGGTGGGTAACTAAGTTGTTTTATTGGGACAATTCTTACACTAGATAAGATAAGACATGTGGTTTGATGAAGGATCAACGAAGAATTATGTGTTTCTGAAAAGTGTCCTGTAAATATCGTGGTATGAGTATTCCAACCCAAATTTTCTTGTGTCTAACTGAAACTACTCGGAGATCCATCACTAAGTGAATAAGAACTAGTATTGCATCAATTTTGTTGACATTTGAGTTCAAGTTTGAACGACTAATGGTTATCAATATCCGCTAGTTTTTTTGTTTTGTTTTTTTTATTCCACACACATCAACAGTTAGAATCACAAGAGAAACATGCTCCTAAAATATCTCAATATCCAAGGTAATGGAGGAGGTTGCAGGGGTGAAGGCAGGGGAGGAACTGCATAGAACATAGAGCTTTTGTCAACACCGGCAGGGTTTCCAGTGGACAATGCCACAATTGCAGCAACCAGACCTGCGGCTCGGCTCTGTGTGGTTGTAATTTGAACGGACATCCTGGAAATTGTCGTGCCCATCAGGACCAGTAACTATGGCCTTAGCAATTGTATTTGGATTCGGTTTCTTACTGTCTCTCCATTTTAATCCCCATTTGCAACCATACTTTTTCTTTCTAGTAATGGATGACTCTATGGTGGACCTGCTGTGGAAAACGTTCACCAAAGCGGACAATGTAGCTTATCCCCCAAGGATTTTTACTGAGAATGTAATCGATTTGGGTCCTGGCAGACCTGCGCGGTTCTTCGGTAGGGTAGAAACTGGATCCGCAATGCCATCCAGGTAATAATCGTTGTATAGTTGAGCTAAAAAAGCTGCATGGATTACATACTGAAGAGGTCTTGGCCTTCTTTTGTTCAATTGAATCGGCCCTCCCTTTGTTCTGTTGAAGCTAGCAAAAAGGGGAAGGTAGGAGCACATTGTTTCATCAATCTGACGGTGGAATGTCCTCAACATCTCTTCGTAAAGGTACCCAAAACTGAAGAACAATCTCAGCGGGCTTAGAAGCAAAAAAGCACCAGCATGCCTGTTGTCCCAGCTAAGTACCCTATTCTTAGGGTCAGTCCACAAATATTTTTCACGAGCAGCCAAGTTGGGGTTAGTGACAAGTTGAAGATAAGATGGGTTCCACCCCACAAAAATATTCATCCCAAAAACCAGTGGAATTGTAGATAGGGGAAAACGGGTCTGCATCCACCTTATACTTTGCACCTTGCCCTATGGTAGCAAATCCGAAGAGTAAATTAGCATCGTGAACAAGTTTTTTAGAGTAATCTGTATTGTTTTTGAAAACAATGGATGCAGAAGCCATTTCTGCAGCAAAGGTCAGGCAATTATAACACTCATGTCGGATTCTTGGATGGTCAATATCCTCCAGACGTATCCAACGGTCGTGAGTTTTCTCCTGATCACCACCACCAGCGGACTCAGTGTCATCAACCCCTCTAACATATATAACCATATTGCCAATGGAATCAGCTGCGGAGGAATTGAAGGTCTTGAGAAGGTAATATGTACCTCACTTGATGATGTCATACACATGTTCTAGTTCTCCCAGTGCCGCATATTTTGCACCGTATTCGATCACACTCCAACTCAACATGGTCATGGCAAAAGATGCAGGAAAGCTGTACTTGCTCGCTTCTCCACTGTCATAATATCCACCACCAGATTTTTGGTGTTAGAGTCGCCGTCACTCAAGCAGAAGTCACCTCTCCATGAAACATTGTTGTACTTGGGGAGTTTTCCGGATCGTTGGGCATTGAAAAATAAGAGGGCTTGGTGAAGCGCTGTGGTGTAGTTGTCAGGCACAGACGGGTGGACATGATGGTGGCTCCGTTGGGCAAGCTTTACTATAAGAGTGATTAAAGCCACCAAAATGCCAACCATCACCACACTCTATATGGTGACGCTAAACTTTGCACGACAAATCTTCCTCATCGACATAAACATCGTCTTTATTTCCTGGCTTCAACAGTCGCCCTTGCTTCACCTTGTCCGGCGGCAGTGCCCCTGCCCTATCCTCCGCCTCTCATCGTCTTTATTTTCTGTATCATACACATTTATTGTTATGCATCACTTTGTACTATTCTCTCAACAGACAGCTTGGTGTGGCTGGACAACCAAAAGGGCATCTATATGGGGTTTGGTAACTAAATTCATTACATTTCAACATACTCTTTTGTTTTGGGTCTTTTCATCTTTGGTTTTTACTTAGTTTTGGGTCATGTACTAGAATAGAGCATTCCAAAACTCCACCTAATATTTAGCTTTGTTCAGAGTGTGAATCTCGTATTAGAAATTAATTTTGCGTAATAATTCAAAATGATATTCGATTTCTTCACCTCATTTCCAATTGGTCTTGATATTGGAATCTCAACTTTTTGTATGATATCAGAGAGTAGGTTCGTCCACATTTGAATTCCAATGACTACACATGCTCACGTCATTTAGTTAAAATTATTCACATTTAGACTTGAAAGCCTGTCACACATGATATTCAACTTCAAGCAACGAGAGATTCTTAAACATCTCTATTTGTATATCTTCTTAATGAAATACACACAAAAGATATGCAACTAATCATAATATAATTTCTCTCATGCAACATGTAAGTACTTTGTTGTGGATTAAAATGAGACCAACTTTGACGTTTATATCAAACCAACAAAGTTTATGCAATGAAATGTCAGTTTCACATCAACAATTAAAATCACATAAGCACGAGTGAGCAATTGACTGTAACATAGTTATCGCTTATTGTAACAATTGACGGTCTTCTCAGTAATAAAGCCTATAAGGGTATATGAGTCATTCTAGGAAATGAAAAGGACAAAGGAAGGATCAAGACTCGAGTGAGTTCAAATCTTTTGCATCTATTTAATATGCCATCTATGCGACATGTCTTATTTATTGACACCTGATTATTTATTTTAATCCCATCTAACAGTGTTTCTTTAATAAAAGAATTAAAAAAAATTAAAGATAATCAAGACAAAAAAGACGCGTATCACTCAAGTACATAGATATAGAGTCTACACAAGATTTGAACTCTCAAGACCCACCCAGAAGAGAAGAGTATCAAGATGGCCAAGTATTTTTTGAGAAGAATAATACTTGGCTATTCAAAGGATGAGTATGAGTTTCAACTCAAAATTGTTCGTTATCAATTCATAGAACTTCAAGTTTATGATTAGAACTATTCATATATAAATAACTCTATAAAAATTGTCTTTGCAAAAAACCAATTAAAACCAAGTTCGTTTAGTCATCAAATTGTATACAAATAAGTCTATGTATTTGCTACAATAGATTGACTAGACAATCTTAGTTTTAAGTCATTTTTTGCAGAGATGACAGAGTAATTCATAATATAAATAGTTATGATCATAAGTACAAAACTTTGTGATACGAACACAATTAGTTTTGAGCAGAAGTTTCTCCTCAAAATAAACCAAACGAATGAGAATTCTCGCCGGATCCTCTTTTTGAGGATCTCGGGGATCCTCCAATCACATCAGTTCGTCGTACATCGTGCGGTCATAAATTATTGTGATTTTTTTATTTAAAATTGAATGTAAACAGTACCTAACAAAACTGGTCGTACGATGTATTATAAACGGATGTGATTGGAGAATATTCGGAATCGTAAAGGATTCGGCGAGAATCCTCTCTCAAACCAAACAATTGAATCCACGTGGTGGGTTGTGATTGGAGAGAAGTGTCCATCACTTAAAACTCTACGTTTTCTTTTGTCGTTTTCACAGTTCTGTCAATCTTAAGACATGCCATTTTTTCTTTCCAATTTTCACGTTCCTTTTTAATGTGATATATGATATCCTTTTACCAACCTTATTTAATTATGAAAAAAAGACTTATCTACGTCATCGTAATGCATGTATTTAATTTATTCGAAGTTATTAAAGTGGAAACTACTTTTTGGAGAATATGAGGATCAACCTTAAAATGGTGTTTCAAACTTCATCCATCTTAAAATACAATTATTGTCTCATCCTTCACCCATTTTTTATCTCATTATTTCTTAAATTGTGTTTCAAACTTCATTTTCTTGGACTCTACTCTTTAACGGCCATGGAGAGAGATTTTGCACTATTATCAAAAAAGTATATTTTTATATGACTGTTTCACTTATTACGCGATCTGCACACCATAAAATTAGAATTAAAATTAGAAAAATAACCAAAAGAAAGGTGAAAACAATTACCCACATCACATAACATCATGATCCAACAATACAATCTCATTTAAAAAAGTGAGTACATAATTACATTATTGGATACAAAAGCCACGATAATAGTTGAATAAATTTTACCACCAGTTAAATCAGGACATATTAACTGCATTTTCCCCTTTGATCATAGAATACTTGTGTCACGTGGCGGTACCTAAAACCAAAAGAAAGTAGTTTTTATTCTTTGGTAACAAGTAATTTTCCTTTCTTTTTGGCCAAACAAAGTAAGTTTCCGTTTTTGATAATTTACTCTAGGGTTATTTTCTTCAAGTTTCACACTTTTCACACGTGTACAAGTAGTTAAAAAAATAAAAATTTGTTTTTTTGAAAAATTCAGAGTCATACGCTTGTATAAATTCATCGTTTTTTTCTGGAGGGTTTTTATCCGTTTTGTTTATTCGATTCTCCGAACTGAATCGTGCATTCCTCTCTCTCTCTCTCATGACATGGATTGATTAATGAAACCATCTTGAATTTTTACTCTCTCTCTCTCTCTCTAAACCTACACACCCCACACTTTCTCTCTCTTAGGGTTTCGCAGAGAGCTTCCCAGTTGCGAGGAACAAGATAAACAGAACAATCTTTAGGGTTCTTGGCTTTCTTTCAACTTCCAGAGGAAGCCGCTGGGTTTGCGCTGATCGCGGAAGTGTTAATTTCTCACGGCTACTTCAGGGGAACGGTGAATCGGCTTCCGATTGCAGTTTCGTGAGGTTTGAGTTCTTTCTCGATAACTGTGAAGCTTTTGGAGTTTTGGAATTCGATATTTGTATGGGAAAGTTTTATTTTAGGGTTTGTGGTTTTGGTTTGCTAATTTTGGTGCTGTTAGAAATTGGAGGGGAGATGAACAAATGGAGGGTATTTTATGGGGGTAGGGCTTTGGGCAAAGCAAATTTAAGCAAATTTGTAGTTAGATTAAGTTGATTAGGAGTACATTACATGAATTTTATACTTTTGCTCTGCTTTCCCATGTAAGCCAAATGCCGTATTTCGGCCAAGCAGTATAGTCTACATTTTTCTTTTTCGGTTTCGAGACAAAAGATTCTACGCCTATACAGGAGTATCGGTTTGTAAACTATGTTACTTATTAGCTTTTAGTTGCTTACATGGATTGGTTATTGACAATGTGCGCATTTGTGCAGCTGACGGTTTGAAGCAATATTTGAATGTAAGGTTGTTTACAAGTTATCAAGGGAGAGTCCCCCTGACCATTTGATTCTGCGTTGGTAAATGTAGTGTAGAGGATTATGAATGATTGCTGTCATGGACTTGAATGCCTCGCCAGTACCTGAAGAAGATGAGGATACTTTTGAGAATCATATAGAATACATTGCCCCAGAAGAACGTATAGAGAGTGGAGCTGATATAGCACGGCGGGTACTATTTTTTTCTCATTTAAATGGCCTATCTCTTGCTCATGTAGTGGCAACTGGATCATATCGTTTCTTTTGTTAGTGTAGTTATTATTCTGGCCATATATGCTTTTGTTTGGGATCTCCAGCGAGATTGAAAGCATTACAGGGCATTTTGCATTGTTTTTGATTGATTATAGTTGGGGGCATTCATTACATCTGAAGCTTATATCTTTCCATGGCCTTTGGAATTGATGGATATTATTTTGTATGCAAAAGGTTGTATGGAAACAACCATAAACTTGGTGGAAGCCCTTGCAACATTTACGGTCATAAGACGGGGATTTAGAAATTTAAAATAACATAGGAGACAAAATACTTTATGCTGCTATATTGAACTGCATGTACAATTTTTTGAAACTAATATGTTGCTTCCACCTCGCTGTGGGGCAAACAGGTTTTTTTGTCTGGTTATATGGGGGAAATTATGCCTTCGGAAGTTTTACAACTCTCTCTCTCTCTCTCTCTCTCTCTCTCTCGCTCTCTCATGTGCGTGCGCACATTCCCCATGCGCACACCTGTTAGCACACACACACAGCAGTTCACATACACAAAGATTAGCCATGAAATCTTTTCATTCTTTTTCATTTTATTTTATATATTATGTATATATGTTGATCTCAACATTTTATGTGCCTGGCTGCTGATCTTGTGTCTTCCTTGTATTAGGAGCGTGAAGAAAGACGTAAGCGATTGAAACGAGAACGCCCAGATGAAAAACCAGTGCATGTTTCTCAACCCCCTGCATACGATTCATATCAAACAAAAAACCCCAAAGTTTACGACAAATCTAGGCTCCCCAATGGTAAGTATGCTGTCTGTAGTATTTTTTTAGGTTTACTAATATGTTTTTATTTCCATAAGTTGCATTGCTTGGTAGAAGTTATATAGAATTACATTTTCATCACTTCCATGATAAGCATTAACTGAATTATTACCGTTTTCTGTTACGTTAAAAAGTGATTCACCCTTTCATAGAAACTTTTTTTCTTTGGTATTGGTTTCTTGTATGGAGACTGAGTTTAATGCTATAAATTTTTAAACTTCAATGTTATTTGTCATTTTAATCTTGGAATTAAATTTCTTCTTTTGATATTGAGTTAGCGGGTTTGACCTTTTAGATTTTCCAATTATTTGAACCAAACTCTAAACTCATGTGGAGATATAGTGTGCATATTGATATGTCCCGACTGTATGTTAAATGAATGTGTCATGATTTATTTTTTTATCATCGTGCTAATTAGTGAGATACATTTAAATCACTAGTAGCCTTCTGCACTTGTTCTGTGTGGAGAGAGATGCTTTCTCCAAAATACATATAGAAGTGAAGAAGATAAAATGGGAAAATAAATTTGATTCATTTTATGGATGAATTTAATTTCAAATGCATTAGAATGCTCAACTCTGGTTCAGATGGAGAGGTGGTTGTAGATGGTTTTGGGGTGGTGGTCACAACTGGAGTGAAATATGTTTCTCAAAGGAGTGTGAAGAAATGGAATTGGATTTGAGTTGTGAATTCTAGTAGTTTTTTTTTTTTTTTTATAAAGATGAAATTGATGAAGTAATCGGTTTACTGCCTTTGGGTGAGTTTGGTAGTTCACTTACCTAGCTATCCCTATCATTTAATTCTTCCATTAGTTTTGGGATGATGTGGAAGGGAATTGTGTATTTGAAATAAATAAAATTTGATTCATCTTGAAGACCGTGGCTCAAAAATACTGGTGTTCCCTTTATATACTAGTATGGATAAAGGATTTTAGACCTTTATCTGGGGAAATAGTTTCTGTCTGTAGCACTTATATGACTCAGGAATGTGCTTATTTGGTATTACTTTTGTTGTTATAATTTGTGATATTATTTTAAAGTTGATTAGCTTAAGAATCCTAGTTTGTTTTCTGTATTTGCATCTAAAGAGTTATGTGTTTTAGTTATTAGCTTCAATTGCCATCTTCTTGGAGCTTAACTTCTGTCATTTCTAATTACATTTTTCTTCATAATGCAGGTTGGTTGGATTGTCCGGCAGCTGGTCAAGAAATATGTTTCATGATACCTTCTAAGGTGCCACTGGGTGAATCGTACAATGATTGTGTTCCTCCTGGTAAAAGATACTCATTTAAACAAGTGATTCATCAGCAAAGAGTTTTGGGAAGAAAGGTAAGGCTGCTGAAATTATGCTCCTTTTCTTCTAGTCTTATTTTTTTCTTGATAATTGAAAAGTAGTTTTTGTCACATGCACTAGCTGTCAAAGTTTGGATACTGTATGTATATATTTCTTTTTTGGACAACGGGAGTTGAACTAAATAGTACCTCTATGAGAGTCATTCTGTCTTGTTCAATTGTTGAAATGATTTTAAGGTCGTCTTCACTCATTTTCAGCTTGGTTTGGTGATTGATTTGACAAATACTTCTCGCTATTATCTAACATCAGATTTGAAGAAGGAGGGTATTAAGCATGTCAAGGTGAGTAGTAGATTATGGTACAATTTGTATTCCTTGGTACTTCTGTCTGTATTTTATTATTTATGGAATTGTGTTCGATAATGTAGATTGCATGCAAGGGGCGGGATTCTGTGCCTGACAACCTTTCCGTAAATCAGTTTGTATACGAGGTTTGTTTCATTTTTCACACTTGCCTGTCCACTATGTGTGAATTTTTTACCAAATTTTTTTGGCTGCAGGGATGATTCTTTTGTTATTCACTTCCATTTCAATTGCACTGTCTGTTTCTCAGTTTAGTTATATGTTTATTTTGGCCACGGGCTTGCCTATTTATATGCGAGGAAGGAAGCTTTTTTATTTATTATTATTTTTTTTTCAAGATATCACATATACTCATTGTTTATGTAAGTAAAATTCTGGTTATGATGCTTTATTAATTATTCTCATTTCAGGTTATACAGTTCCTGTCACGTCAAAAGCATTCGAAGAAATATATTCTTGTGCATTGTACACATGGGCACAATCGCACAGGGTATATGATCATCCACTACCTAATGCGCTCATTACCAATTTCAGTCACTCAGGTAATTATGAGGTCGTTTTAACTGTCTAAATGTAGAGTAAACCAACCTGCTTTTATACTCTTATCTTATTCTTGTTATTTCTCTGATGCTACATTGTATTACACAGGCATTAAAAATTTTTGCGGATGCACGTCCTCCAGGAATTTACAAACCTGACTATGTTGATGCTTTATACTCATTCTATCATGAAAGAAAGCCTGATACGGTTGTCTGCCCCTCAACTCCTGAATGGAAGACTTCAGAATTTGATCTTAATGGCGAAGCTGTTGCAGACGACGACGACGACGATGATGGGGGTCCTGCTGCTCCTGTAAATAATGTATGCACCGTCTTTATAGTGGAACTCTTTCTATTGGATATGATGTATTTCTTTGCCAAATGAATGACACTTGAAGGTCGGACAATCCAGTAAAGGATAAGTGGTCATCTGTTTTTTTTTTGCATGGCATTGATGGAGGAGTAATTTTTATTTTATTTTTTTGTAATGTGTTCTGTTCATTATTTGTAATCCACCCCATACTTCCTGTTTGATCATGTAATGGAAACAAATGACCTTTTGCTTCGTTATCATGATACATGTTTGTTTTTTATTGTTGTCTTCACTGTAGTTTTAACATACCTCTTCTATTTCAGGAGAGTCTGGATACAAATGGATTGATGACAAATGATGATATCTTGGGCGATGAGATACCTTGGGACCAGCAGGAGGCAATGCGGCAGTTCTGCTATCAGACTCTTAAGCTGGTTAATGTTGGGGTAGGCATGTTGAGACCTATCTCTATTCTTGATGGTTTTTGGCTTTTGCTTCTAACTCCACAAATATCTGAGATCTTGAGTTAGCCTGTTTTGATTTTTTGTCACATATTTTAGCTTAATTCCAAATTGCATCCCATTTTAGTATTTTACTAGAACTTTATTTTCTTTCATTTCAGCCTAGAGGAAACTCGCAATTCCCAGGGTCGCATCCCGTGTCTCTTAACAGGTGATCCTTGCTCCTTTTTTTGGTTTAGGTTTCCTTTTTCCTAATTTGAGCATATAAAATTTCTTCATTTTTACCAATTGTAACTTTCTTTGACTCAATAGTGATATATGCGATAAGCTGTACAATTTCATCATAACTTGGTGGGCAGTATCTTGAAATGAACTTTCTTTTGTTAACATGCTTTGTGTTGTGCATTTTAGTAAGTAAGAACATTTGATCTGTAAAGAAAAGTTTGATGGGCAATTATCACGCAATGTTTCATTGGAATGATAACTGAAATGGTAACTCAATGTCGTTGTTGACATCGACAATGAATCTATTGAAATTGGTGGATGCTGCTGGAATTGATATTTGAAATGTTGTATGTAAGCACAGTTTGTAGTTTGTTTTCTGCTTAACAAAGATATATTTCTAGCACTGTTGAAGCTTAGTTTGAAAAGAGACCCAACGTGGCTTGACATTTGATCGCATATTAGATATTTGGAGGTGTAATGTGCTTGGTTTCGTAATAGTTGGCTGATAGATGACAAATTCCTTGTGCATCTGTAAAGACTCCTCGAGTACTGCATATCAGATATTTACTCTATTCTCATATATTGTTTTATACATGTTGCAATTGAGTATTGTAGGTCTTTTTTACTTGGTAATGCTCCATTTTGAGATTGTCATCTGAATGGACTTCCTTCTCACATACATGCAGGGAGAACTTACAGTTGTTAAGGCAACGTTATTATTATGCTACATGGAAGGCTGATGGAACACGATATATGATGTTAATAATGATGGATGGGTGTTACTTGGTTGATAGAAATTTTAATTTTAGAAGGGTCCAAATGAGGTTTCCCTGCAAACACACAAATGATGTATGTATACACTTACTTTTGCAAGGTTAATGAGGGAAGATTTCATCTCCCCATTCAGCTGTATCCTTCACAAGTTAGAGTGACCTTGTTTGTCTCCTTTTTTTTTTTTTTTTTTTTTTTTTTCTTTTTTGTCTTGAAGGGTTTAGCCGAGAAGACTCACCACTACACATTACTGGATGGGGAGATGGTAATTGATACCGTGCCTGATTCACAGAAGCAGGAGAGAAGATACCTGATCTATGATATGATGGCAATCAACCACCTTTCTGTCATAGAGGTTGGTGTGCCCTTTTTCTGCGCCTTTTTTTGTATCCCTTTTAGGGTGATCTACCTTTTAAATTATGGTTGCACAAACTTGAGAATTTAAGATATTGTATTTATAATCACATGGTATATGCTATATGGTTGTGTAATTTACCACTCGATTATATTTTTGAATTCATTTTTCAAACTTTGGCTAGATTTTTGTGCAAGCAAACATGTAAGTCATTTGCCAACGGTAACACACTGTAAACCGAACACAGGGAGTGAACTTTCGGATATAAAAGGAGTCCTAAATTTTGAGAAGTAGTCGGGAACGTGCACAAAGGTCTCTGTAGGCTTGTGTTTTGTTAGGTATGGAACAATCAACTTGAAGAGATATCTGCACTGTGATTTTTAACATCCGTATAATCATCAGTAGTGGTATCTGCACTGTGATTATATTGTCTTAAATTGTAAAATAACAGTTGGACCCATCGTCAGTATCTGCATTGGTAATGGGGTGTTCAAGGTTGTAAATTGCCTTAGTATATTATGTTCTGTAATGTTAAGCTACCCATTATACAGTCTAATATTTTAGCATTGTTGCAGCGGCCTTTTTATGAACGGTGGAAGATGCTTGAGAAAGAAGTCATTGAACCTCGGAATTATGAGCGCCACAATATATACCAAAGTAGGAATCCTTACTATAGATATGACCTGGAACCATTCAGGGTATGCATCAATAAACTCTGTGTTCAGATGTTGAACTTCATTCCGCTGTTTACTTTTCTGCTGGGATTGATTTTCTCAGTGTGTTCAATCAGGTGAGGAGGAAGGACTTTTGGTTGCTCTCAACTGTAAACAAGCTTTTGAAGGAATTTATTCCAAGGCTTTCGCATGATGCAGATGGTCTTATCTTTCAGGTGGTTCTATGAAATATGATTCGAACATTTTTATTAGTTTCAAATTACTTGGTTAGCTGTCAATATAATTTGTTTATTGCCATGTCAGGTCCTATTATTGGTTCTAAATTAGCTGTCCTCTCTCTGATTTGGTTGCAAAGAATTAATAATTTATATTTTTTATATGCTAGGGTTGGGATGATCCTTATGTTCCCCGCACACATGAAGGACTTCTAAAGTGGAAATATTCTCATATGAACTCGGTTGATTTTCTCTTTGAGGTTGTGCTATCAACTTTATTGAGTTATTTTTTGAAAACTCTATTTTGTCATTTAAACTATTTTTCTGTACATCTCTCATCCCTTTCCATATCTGCTGTAATTTCTTCTGTGCTTGTTTTCTCATATGAAGCTGCTTGTGTGGACAGGTAACTGATGATGATCGGCAGCATCTTTTTCTGTATGAACGTGGAAAGAAGAAACTAATGGATGGAAATAGAGTTGCGTTTAAAGGTCGACATGAATATCTTCAGATATACATATATATTTTTTCTTCTGTTTAAAACTTGACTCTGTATAATCATGATCTGTACAGCTGAAGTTTTGTATTGGGGTGCTTCAGATTTTTTTCTGTTTAAAACGTGACCTGGCAGGAGCTTCTCCAGAAAGCATTTCTATGACTCAAGCATTTTTTTCGGTTTTCAGAAAGCACTTTTAGCTCTTCCAGAAGCAGTCTCAATAGGCCCCAACTTTATAAGCAGATTTATTTTATTTCTTTTTGTTTAAACCGGTGGACATACATGTGGATACACTTGGATTGATCCCAAAAAAGAAAAATGTCCGGATGAGAACTTTTATTGTTTTTATAGCTTTCCCGTTATCGCTTAGTGTTTTGGGAAACCTAGATAAAATAATGGTTGCTTCATCGTATCATCTTCTACAATCTAATTGGCACTAACATCTGGTATTATGTTTTGCTGGGTGTGATTTGGTCATGATCCTGTTGTGTTTAACCTAATGCTTTTTTTGTATTCCTATGTAGCAGATGGTGAAGACCCCACTTCTTATTCTGGAAAAATAATCGAGTGTTCTTGGAACGGTGAAGAACAAGAATGGGTCCCTATGCGCATCAGGACTGACAAATCAACTCCAAATGATATCAATACGTACAAGAAGGTCCTTCTCCGCGTATTTTGAATTTGTTTTTCTTGTTTAATCCCCACTTTGGGCTCATTGATTGCTGATTTTAAAACAGGTCATGCGAAGCATAAAAGACAATATCACGCAGGACATCTTGTTGAATGAGATCTACGAGATCATTCGCCTGCCTATGTATGCTGATAGGATACGGAGTGATAGCAAAGCAGCCCAGCAGCATGCAAATGCAGCACGAAGGAGGTGACTTGCGGAGGTTTTAGCAACACTGGAGTTTCGTGCAAAGGTTTGCTGATAGCAGGTTAGCTTAGTGCTGAGGCTGCCCTCGGACACCTGCTTGGCAAGTCGTTCAGAGTTCTATATGGTCGTATCAGCTGGTGAATCACATATTCAGTGTAACTTCCTAAGCCTAGCTATAATTCGTAATGAGTGCTGTTCTGGCGAGTTGTTTGATCCAGTTTGGTACGGCGATAGCCCCTGGGATTGCTGTCACATTTATTTGGTTCTGATAGTAGTTCAGATGAAGAGGAGTAGGGTTAGAGTCAGATGTGTATATTTTGACGACGATATTGTTAAGTTGTTTAAAAGGTAGGCATTTTTTTAACGACCTAAGTTTTTGCCTTTCCCTTTTCATGTGAATATATAACTTTGGGAATAGGCAAGTAAACGACTCTACTCTCTCGAAACCCTGGTTTTAGTTACTCGTGTTTTTGGTGTTGTATTTGTTTTTGACCTACTCGTCGCAAATCATCACCGTCTATTAGGAATCCGGATCCTCTTCAGATCTTTTTTGTGAGGATTCTAGAGATTCGTGAATCGTGTTCATTCATTGTACATCGTGCGGTTAATTTTTATCAAATATTGTTTGTGTTTAATTTTAAATAATAAAATTTAAAATGATTTTTAACTACACGATACACGAATTTTTGAAATTTTTACAAGGAGAATCTGGAGAGGATCTTTATTCGTGTATTAGCATGGGACTTCGTATGATTGCTCGAGAGATTTGTTGTTAACAATTGTTTTTAGAGATGATGCATCTTTTAGTCCAATTTGATCATGTCCGGAAACGTGGACACCTTGATGACTTTTCGGTTCTTCTAGTGTTTTGACGTCCAAGACTTCCCTACTCTGGAGAAGTTGCCATTCTCTCTCACGTTAGCACTTATTAGAGCAATTTCGTCCCTCAAAAAATGCGTCAGCACCTAGTCTATTTAATTCACTCAGTAAATAGTGATAAATCTCAATGAACAATAATAGGTCAAATGCATCTTCATCCCTAATAAAAAATAGCCTAGAAAATTCTATTAAAATATTATTATTTTTTATTATAAAAAATAAAAAATAAAAAATATATTTTTAATTTCTAACTTTATAAAAAAATAAAATAGTAATATTATTATTAAAATATTTTTATTTTCTCATCTTTCACCCCTCTTCCTCGTCCTCACCAACATCCACCCCTGCACTTCCCTTCCATTCCCATTGCCGCCTCCAAACCTCATCCTCCCATCCTTCGACGCCGTCGCCCTTCTATCCTTCAAATCCCAAGTTGACCTCAACAACAAGCTCTTTTACACCCTTAACGAGCTTCAACTATTGCATCTCCACACCTCTTGTCCTTCAAATATTTTTAATTTCTGCATCTCCACACCTCTTCATCGTCTGCTTCGTCCTCCTGTCCTTCTCCCTCCGTGGCTCCTTCCCTCCTGACACCTTCTCTTGCCTCGACCAGCTTCGCTCCTCAGCCTCCACAACAACTCCCTCTTTGGCGCAACAAAAAAAGGTGTGGTTGACACTAGCATGCGTTATGTAGGCTGTCCCATGGGTCTGTCGATTCTGGGCCAGTCTCTTGCCTGGCTTTGGCTGGGTGCCAGCCTATTAGGCTGGGCTAGAGTGTTTTAGCTGGGTGCCGGGCTGTTTGGGGGACAGGGTGCCGGGCTGTCAAGCCTTAGTGGAAGCTCTTATATGTGGCAAATGAGTTGTGTTTGTCGTGTTCGTGTCGTTTTTGTGTCATAATAGTATCTTAACATACCATTTTGTGACAACCCCATTATCTTAACAAGTGACTCGATAATGGGTCATGCAATATTTTATCAAGCTTAATGTCTAGACCTACACTAGACCTACTCATTACGTGTCGTACCTATTATCTTAACGATTTTTTAACGAATGATCAAAAAACGACTTGATTTGTTAGCAAACTCTTAATTAGTAACACAATAACAATCCTACTTATTAACGGATTGACTTGAAATATGTTATTTTTATGCCTTTTCTTGTCGGATAGTGCGAAAATTATTTCTTTTAATAAATAACGTGACACTAAACCATTTTATTTGGCCTCACTTTTTTGACGTAATTTTCTCAAACTCAAGGTGCAAATGCCAATCACAGTCCTCGACTGTCGACTCTGCGCACCCACCCATGTCCTAAATCCTCTCCGACTCACTAACCCAAACCGCCGATACATTTCCTAGAACCCTTGTTAGCAGCTGGGGTCTATCTTCTCCTCCGCAATTTCGTCCCCATTCTGATCGAAACGAACCGGATCATATGAAATTCCCGGCGATTAGGGCTTTTCTGATCTGTCTAATTCTCTGCGCCGGTTCGAGCTTCGTTCATGGCGAGGAGCCGGCGAAGAATAAGTTCCGGGAACGAGAAGCCAGCGACGACGCCCTTGGATATCCGAACATGTATGCATATTCATTTCTTAATCTGTCTTAATATCCCGTGATTAGTGTACACTCACAGAGATTTTGTTGATGTTGGGTTAATTGTGTTTGGAATTCTTGCATTTGATTAATGCGTTGGATTTGTGTGTGTGGTTAGAGATGAGGATGCATTGTTGAATACGCAGTGCCCTGCGAAATTGGAGCTCAGATGGCAAACGGAAGTTAGTTCTAGTATATATGCTACGCCCTTGGTCGCCGATATCAATAGGTACAAAAAAGATTGTGTTTTGGTTGGAAATTCTGTATATTTACCAGTGCATTTTGTGATTACCATGGGGATCAGTTCTGTGTCCAGCATTGATTTGTGTGGTCTTTTTTTTCGGGTATTCGTTTTCTCTTATTGCAGTGATGGAAAGCTTGAGATTGTGGTTTCTTCTTTCGTCCACTATCTTGAAGTTCTTGAAGGTGCTGATGGAGACAAACATCCCGGTACGAAAATTCCATTCTTTGTTTTACGTTAAGCTGGCTTGAAGTTTGGTGAAGTGATTTTCCAAGTACCTGCTTGATGATTTATCAGGTTGGCCTGCTTTCCATCAGTCAACCGTACATGCGAGTCCTCTCCTGCATGATATCGACAAGGATGGTGTGAGAGAAATAACTTTGGCAACCTACAATGGTGAAGTTTTATTTTTCAGGTAATTCAGTTACATTGCCCGAGTAATGTTACTAAATATATTACAATGTTTTCTCTCGACTATGCATTTATATAACAGCCTACACAAGCTCATAAAAGTTTGTGTATATTTTCTTTTAGGGTTTCAGGTTACATGATGGTAGATAAACTTGTAGTACCTCGTAGGAAAGTTAAAAAGAACTGGTATGGGGGTCTGCATCCGGATCCCGTGGATCGCACTCATCCAGATGTCCATGATGATTCTCTTGTCATGGAGGCTTTGGAATCAATTCATCGTAAGCTATTTACATGTTAAAGTAGTTTTTTTCTCACAACCGCTGTTGTTTTTTTTGAGGGTATCCTTATTCATATCATCTGCTTTAGTAGACATTTAGGAAGAGCATGCCGAGCCACCTGAAACAGTTCTGACTTCATATGATTGTGAAAATGTTACTTTTTAACGGGAACTAATTGTATTTGCAACTGTTGGTTATTTTTGTAGAAACAAGTGGAAATACAGCTAAATTAAACAATTCTGCTTCTATTTCAACTTCTGATTCAAACACTTCAACTATTATTTCAACTCCTGATACAAACAATTCAGCTACTATTTCAAAAGAGAGCAACCTTGGCATGGTAAATGCAACAAATCCAGAGAATAAAGGGGAAACAAATTCAACTCAGGTGGAAACAGTCATCAAGCTGCATACAGGCACGGACAATTCTTCTGTGAAAAATTTGTCAGAGGAAACTGTTAATGTAGTGAATGGAACTAGTTCTGGGAGACGGCTTTTAGAAGATAAAAAGTCAAGTGAATCGCAGGAGGGTAGTTCTGAACCCAAAGATAATAATAAGGAGGATGTTCCTGTTGCAACTGTACAAAATGAGGGAAGCTTGGAAGCAGATGCTGATTCATCTTTTGAGTTGTTCCGTAGCAGTGAGGAACTGGCTGATGATATAGTTACGACTATGATGATTATGCTGATGAATCAATGTGGGGAGATGAGGAATGGGCTGAAGAGCAGCACGAGAAAATGGAGGATTATGTTGATGTTGATGCACACATACTCTGCACTCCTGTGAGTTCTAACGTTAATGTTTCTTCTATACACATATATAGGCACAGTGCACATGGATTTATATATGTAGACATGATATTTAGTTACTATTTGCCATATGCAAGTTAAATTTGGTTGATGGTTTCTTTTTTCCTTCAGGTCATAGCAGACATAGACAATGATGGAGTATCAGAAATGGTTGTTGCTGTATCTTACTTCTTTGATAGCGAGTGAGTTCTCTTCCATACTGTCAAAATTCACTTATTTATTAATATTTTTGGAGTGGAATGCAATCACATCACATTTAGCGCTTTATCCTCATTTTGCACTGTTGGAGTTAAATCTGCATTTTGAGTAGTTGTGATGACCTGGTATGGCCGCCAATGAGTTCAAAACTATAGCACTATTTGTATTGACCAGGAGGCACTCATGAGATCAGTAGATATGTTGTAAATGAAATAGAAGAATAATTTAAATTTGTAGGTAGATTGTGTATGATCTAGTAATTTACCATGCTCTTGGTTTCTTCCTTCAGATCTATACAATAAATTGTAATAATCCTTTAAGTTTTATTTCCTGCAAAATCAATGTAGTGCGCTTTCTTTATCATTTGTTATGCAGCATCAACCAAGATTGAAATGTGAACCATATATTGGAGTTTGCTTAGTAATTAATGGTTTGATAGTAATCTCCCACCTTGTACATTTGCAGGTATTATGAGTCCAACGAAGATCATCGAAGGAATTGGGTGACATTGATATTACAAAATATGTTGCTGGCTCAATAGTTGTGTTTAATCTCGACACAAAGCAAGTTAAGTGGACTGCGGAACTAGATCTGAGTACAGAGACTGCGAAGTTCCGTGCTCATATATATTCTTCTCCAACTGTAGTGGATTTGGATGGTGACGGGAATCTGGACATTCTTGTTGGAACTTCCTATGGCTTGTTCTATGTCTTGGATCATCATGGTGAGTTAACTTTTCTTACTCTCATTGCTGCAGTTGCTGCCATTTTCCCCTCAGAGAGCATGAGTTGCTTTAAGTTCCCCGGCATACAAGACGCTGGATCATCTTTGATGTTACATACAACTCTTTTTGTTAGTGATATCAAAACTAAACTATTTCTTTTGTTCAGGCAAGGTCAGAGAAAAATTTCCTCTTGAAATGGCTGAAATTCAAGGAGCTGTTGTTGCTGCTGATATCAATGATGATGGAAAAATTGAACTAGTGACTACTGATGCTCATGGAAATGTTGCTGCATGGACTACAAAAGGAGTAGAAATTTGGGAAAAGCATCTTAAGAGTCTAGTTCCCCAGGTACAGTTGAGGGTTTGATTGGATATTAAGTAGAGTGCCAGTACAATATGTGGTGGACCACATTTTTGGGTCAGTTGTTTTTTGGAAATTTCTTTTCTGCTCTGGACCTTATGAGTTTAATTTACCATTTTCCTGGAGAGATTATAGGTTTTCAACTTGTATGCACTATGCTCAAATTTATGAGTGTCATTTTCTCAAGAACACTACATATTTGTTTCTACGAATTAGCACTGTCAAGGTTTCTACATATATGTGATTTAATAGACATTGCAACTCAGGTTATTTACTTCACAGTGAATCTAATGTACATTTTTGTTCCTCAGGGTCCGACTATTGGTGATGTTGATGGGGATGGCCATACTGATGTTGTGGTTCCAACTTTATCCGGCAACATATATGTTCTTAGTGGCAAAGATGGGTCAATTGTTCGTCCTTATCCATATAGAACTCATGGGAGAGTTATGAATCAAGTTCTTCTAGTTGATTTAAGTAAAAAAGGAGAGAAAAAGAAGGGACTCACCCTTGTTACAACTTCGTTTGATGGTTACTTGTACCTAATTGATGGACCTACATCATGCGCAGATGTGGTCGACATTGGTGAAACTTCGTAAGTTATTTTTAAATCCTTCAATGTTACTACATCTTTACTTATTTCTCCTCCTTTCCATGTTTTACCTGAAACATTGATCACTGCATGACAGATATAGCATGGTCTTAGCAGACAATGTTGATGGTGGAGATGATCTTGATCTTATTGTTTCAACCATGAACGGCAATGTTTTTTGCTTCTCGACTCCTGCTTCGCATCATCCCCTCAAGGCATGATAGATCACAAGCTTGATCTGTCAATAGTTTCTTCTGTTGTCTTCGGTTTTCCTTTTTTGCTTTTTGTTGGGTGATAATGTTTTATGTTTAATCGTCTTTAGTGTGTTTCCTTTCTCAGGCATGGAGGTCACCTAATCAAGGAAGAAATCATGTTGCAAATAGGCATAACCGTGAAGGTATCTTTGTTTCACATTCATCAAGAGCTTTCCGTGATGAAGAAGGCAAGAACTTTTGGGTGGAGTTCGAGATCATAGATAGCTATAGATACCCATCGGGGTTGCAAGCACCCTATAATGTCACAGTAAGTTGCTCATTCCCACCAATTATTTTGGCCAAAGTCAACTACACGGTCCTCCCTCCCTCTGTCTCTTGTATACACACGCAGGTAGCTTGTATGTACAATATAAAAAACTCAATTCAACATTTGTCTTCTTTCAAACTATGTAGGTAACGCTGTTAGTGCCAGGTAATTACCAAGGAGAGAGAAGGATAAGAATAAACGAGACCTACAATCGTCCTGGAAAGCATAATATGAAGCTTCCGACAGTTGGTGTAAGGACTACGGGTACTGTTTTGGTGGAGATGGTTGACAAGAACGGACTCTATTTTTCAGATGATTTCTCCCTCACATTCCACATGTATTACTATAGACTGTTGAAATGGCTGCTTGTCCTACCGATGCTTGGAATGTTTGGCATACTTGTAATCCTACGTCCTCAAGAAGCTGTGCCCTTGCCATCATTTTCGCGAAATGCTGACTAAATGTTCAACCTTTATCAATGCAAAGACAGATGACGGACATTCTCACCCGAACAAGTGCAGAAACCATGGCGGATATGACATCACTGCGCACTCCAGTGAATATTTTTGATGTCCACGCTCAGATTGATCTTGGTTTGGCCCCAAAGAAACCGAGTTTTGAACAAGTAGATATCGGAACTTGTAACATGGTTGGATATGAGTTCAAGGAACGAGTACCAAATCGAGTTTTTTGTTGATGATTGTTTTAGAAGAGATGTAATGCAAACCAACGGATATTCATTTACATTAAATTCTCTCTTGATTTTATAGTGGATGATTATCTATAAATTGGCAATTTCAATTGATTCAAATTTACATGTGTACTTGGAAAGAATTGGCATTGAAATTATTTCGACTCTTCGACTTTCTATCTGTATGCTAGTGCATGAGTACTGAAATTATTCTTCGAGTTCTTCTCATGCGTTTACTAATACATATGACATCAATAAGTACGTGAATTTGACATTACAATTCGTAATTCGGTACCTCTAATACCAAATTCACTACTGTCTCTACTCTTCCTAGCCACACCAATTCATAACTTTTGCTATTCCAAGTAAACATGCCATCAATAGGTTTGCTCTCAAAACCGATGTCCCGACTACATGCTCCTATTGAACTCATGCTGCCGACTTTAAAGACGGTTGTTATTGACATTCTAAAAAAGTCATCTAGCATGGTCCAATGCACCGTAAATGAATTACTACAGGCCAAATATGAGCAGATTCATAATTTGATGCAAAAAGTTTATCATATAGTAATATTATAGCCAAAACTATACAGACCTAGAAATCTAATTCCAGGAAACCCTTATCTATTTATCTCTCAACAAGACAATACAATCATGTTCATAAATACAGACCAAAAGTAGAAATAGTCCAATATGCAGAATTGAACTTGATCACAAGATAAAGTAGTGAATGTCACGCTCTCATTTTCTTCTTTTGCATTTGCCTTTTATTTCTGCGCAAAGATTAGAAAAAAAATAAAAAACGTGAGTGTGAAAATCACTTCAGTGTTCTCGTAAAACGAGAGCGCTAAAAGACATGCAAGACAGGCCTCTTCCCGAGCCTCTTAATCTCTCTGTCCATATTACCCGAAAGCATCAAAGCAAACATCTTGAAATCGCATAAAAGGGACCAAAACGGATGCCCGAACGTCGCCGGAATATTCCCCTCCACGAAAAAATGGCTGTACCACGCCAATCCGTACCCAGAGAGAGGCACACAAAGCAGAAACCGCCAATCGAACAGCAGCGAGCAGAGGAGGAAGAAGATAGAAGCTAGGGTTCCTGCAAAATGCCACCGCCGCGTCGCTGGTTTCGAGTGCTGGTTCATGTAGAAGGCCCAGAACTCCTCCAAGCTCCTGAAATTCATAATCTTTTGTGAAAGTAAGAGCAACCCAGTTCAGGATTCAGATTTTTGTGAAGACCCAAGTGAAAAAAATGATCAGAATTTGGATTTGGGAAAGATTTTGGAAGCTTTGAAATTAAACCCAGAAAAATAAAAGAAGAAAAAGTAGCTGGTGGATAATCACTGAAATTTTGAGCAGAGAAATCTTGAGGATGGGACGAAAGAATAAATTCGGAGTTTTGGTGATGGATTATAGTTTTATCCGCTGTGTGGTTGGTGTTTGTGGAAGGATGCAACAGAGCAGGGTGAAAAAAGTCTGAGAGGGTGAACAGTTTCTGTGCGTGAGTGGATTGAATAACGCAGGATTTATTAGAGACTAGAGTCGTCCACGGCAGTGACTTTGTACTTACCATCGGATTTTTGTTATTTTTTCTTGGTTTTGACATGTTGATTAATTGAACAGAACAAGGGGGATTGAAGAGTTTTTAAATCCAAATTATGGATAATAGAGTTTGATATTTCATTTCGAGAACTTGCATGAGACGCGATCACCTCAAGTGACATTAATCCGCATGATAATACATTAGTAAATCAGAACGCTATAGTATTTATAAAGCCATTTTATGTAAGTAGTCTTTATTTCATAGATGTTGGTTTTTAAGAGCATCTTCAACATGAGATTAGACAGATATATTCGCTATCAAAAGTTGCATGGTCACTCAACATTTGATTTGATACGAAATGTAAAGAATGATGATGTCCCCTGATCACGAATTGGTCATCAAGTGGAATGCTTTGGAATGAGCATTTTATAATTATTGTTAGGCAAAAAATCTCCAACGGACAAATTTCAAGAGTTTGATTTTTTTTTTCTTTACAAACAATATTATTACATTAAGGGTGCGTTTGTTGCACCGGACTGTCTCGGACTGGACTAGCTGCAGGGATTAAGTTGGACTGGCTTAGACTAGACTAAGCTGGACTAGCTTAGTGAAGTGTTTGGTGCAGCGTCGGACTAAGAAGCAGGATAATGAAAACAATACTGTTCACCAATTTGGTGTTTGCCCAGACTAGGACTACATTATTGTTCTATTTTAATCGCTTTTTTATTAAAGATATTATTAAAATTAATAATATTGGATGAGAGTGAGACTCAATAAAAATACAAAAACCAAATTTTCTTGCCAACAAAAGAAACATACATGATTCAAGAGTAGCATTGTTCCAAACATCAATATAACAAAGTGTTATCCCAACAATCGACATGGTTCAAGATGTTTTTCTTAATTATTCATCTTTGGTTTAAAGTTGTAGATTAAAGTAAAGGTTTGTTTGCTTTTTTTGGTTGTGTTTTTGCAGCTTTGTTTGCTTTGCCGTTTGCCTTATTACCTTTCATGTTGGTGTTTTTTTGAACCGTGTTTAATTAAGTTGTACCGAAAAGAAAAAAACCATTAGTTCATCCCATACTGCAGCAAACATTAAAAAATACAGTGAACAATCTGTTGAATCCAAATCACAATATTTCTAATGTATCATCTAATCAAATTGAATTCCTCTCCAATTGAGTCACCGCTGATATTAGAGCAAAGCATATGTAAAGCAAGAAAATGTATAAGTATGATTACTCAATAAATATCTGATTGACTTGACTCACTTCAATAGACATCAGATCAAGTTATGATGAAATAAACAGCAACATGAAATATCAACTATCGAGCCTTGAGTAGGGTAAAAGTGTCTTCGTCAGATGAAAAAGCTGTAACCTTGTTTGCACAAGGATCGACTTTGTTGTCATCTAGATCCTTTTCACTGTAAAAACCAGATTTTTCAGGTTCAGGCAATCCACACCACTGAAGATCAGAACTGCAGCTGGTATGCTTGGCCTATCTGCCGGATTTCGCTGCACACATAAAAAACCCACATGGATTGACTGCAAAACTTCATGTGGATTACTGGAGTCTCCTACTGATGTATCGAGCATTTCAATGGACTTGCCTTCTGTGTATAAATTCCATGCCTAAAAGATCACAACCACCAAGCGTACTGAATAAATAGAAGTACAAAGAATCTAGTAAAAATTTGACATACATGGTGAAAATAACTACATAATTACATCCAATGTGTATAAAAATATCAATCTTTCAATTGAGCATTATAATTTGACACCAAAATCAAAGGCATGAACTGTGTGAAGGGTCAAATTGAACACAATCTGAAAAAACTCAACTTAGATTCTGAAATTCACAGTCAAATCAACACAAATCCCCACCCAAGGTTCTTCACCAACTGGCATTTCTTTCAAACTTCACAGTCAAATCAACACAAATCAACTTACTAATCGACGTGGGAATGACACCGGTAAAATTATTACTGTAAATGAAAAGCTCTTCAAGTGAAGCTAAATTCCCTATCTCCTCAGGCATTTCACCAAACACATAATTCTCACAGAGGTAAAGCTTTCTAAGGTTGGTCATTTTGCAGAAAATGGTCAACATTTCTCCATGAAACCTATTTGTGCACAAGTCTAGAATCTCGAGATAATGACAATTTGCCAAACCCTTACTTAACTGAATTTTAGGTAACTTCATTACTTGATTTATATAAGTTACCAAGTGCTAGAAACAAGCTTATTAAGCATTACAAATGCTTGAATTTTAGGTAACTTCATTACTTAACAAGTCCTTTTTGTGCTCAGTTTTGATTACTTACTTCTATAAGTTTTGATACTAAAAACCCAACAAGCTTGCAAGAGGAACTAAATGGAAACAAGGATTAGAGATCAAACAAGAATACTCGTATGCTCAGTTTGAATTAAGGATTATAGTTTTTTTTTTCTTTGGTCTTTTTAATCTGTTGAATCAAGAAGTAGAGGTTGAACAAAGATATTTTAAACATAATCAAACAATAAAGGCATTCAAATATGTAGCTACACAAGTCGGAAAAGAAACAAGTCGCTCATTCTATTTTCTATTTGTACAGGATATCTAACTAATTAACAAAAACATTAGCCTTTGAGCAATCAATTTACAGCTTTTGAGGTTGCTGTTTTTGTATTCATTTTTGCCATGGAGCTCCAATCAATTTACAGCTTTTGAGGTTGCTCTATTTGTATTCATTTTTGCCATGGAGCTCCTTCTTTTATATATACAAACTCCAATGATCACAGTAGACGAATACTCTAACAAAGAAAGATAAAGATGCATCTCCCAAATGAAAATCTGAACCCAGATCAAAACAGGATATGGAGGCAATGGTAAGATTATTGCTTGCAATTAAGCCCCAGAATTCATTGACTTCACATATATATTGCAATATGATTCATCAATCAAGAAGACAAACAACCCATGAACATGAGCCATTAGATGCAGAAAATTGAAGCAGGACCATTAGTTCCAACTTACAGTAGATAAACAAGATATTTTTCAGAGCATGATTCATTTTAGTTAAACCCACCTTCTTCGCTCACTACTGAAAGGACTAGAGAAGAAGTTCTTGGACACATTGAATTCAGTTAAGTAAGGAAGATTACAAATGCTCGGAGACAAAGTGCCAGACAAATTAAGTCCACTGAGATTTAGAGAAGTTACCTTGAAATCAGAACAACGAACTCCGTCCAATTGCAAGGATTTGAATATGCTGAATTCCAGGACACACACACACACCCAAAATCAGCATACCCATATAGAATGAGACACCCACACACACAGAGTACGTACTTACATACAGACACATACAATCATAGACTATATACATATCAATTATTAGATGAAATTCAACGATGGTAGAACAAATATTAGATGAAATTCATATATATATATATATATATATATCAAATCCACTCCAGTAAAAGCCGAACTTTAATATCAATTTGAACCTAAAAATCAAAACCCTAATTTATTTTCAACTGCTCAGATCAATTATTGAAAAGTTTTCAAACCAAAACAACGAAGTCGTTCATAACCCAATAATAATTTACCAGACAAAATCGAAGTCGTTCAACGAGGTCGTTCACGACCAGCAAAAGAAAATCAAAGAAGAAAATCGTCAGATTCGAAATTTACCTGACGAGGAGTAGAGGACGGCGAGCAGAACGCAGAGGACGGTGAGCAGAACGCAGAGGACGGTGAGGATGACGAGTGCGAAGGAGTAGGACGTCTTCTCTCACAGACGAGCGACAAATTTCTCTTTCTCTGGGCTTAGTAGTACCGTGAAAATTGGGGGTCCTCGCGAAGAACTCTTAGCGAAGGACTTTGTCTGAGCGAGTCCGGGTTTATCCCATTAAACTCAGTCCCTCTGCCTACCAAACATGGGATTACACTAAATACTTAATCCAGTCTAGTCCAGTCCCACTTAGTGAGGCCAAACAAACACCCCCTAATAGTTATGTACAACACCCAATAATGATGAGTAACACCATGTCAGTCAGAACGTCACAGTCATCCCACTGTGAAATGCTGCTTCTGTGGAATATGATTCTCTTCTATTTTTTTTTGACCTTTTTTTTTTTTTATTTTTATATTTGAACGTTCACAGTTAAATTACGTTAATATCTTATATTAATTTTTTTTATAAAAAAATAAAAACAAACTAAAGAATATAAGAAGAAATGATGAAAAAATGAGGGACGAGAATCTAGTTCCTGTTTTATTGGCCTCATATCCATTCAGATCGCTTGGTGGCAACATATGCTTGGAATTCATTGGAGGACACAAGAAGGAAATTAATATGATATATAAAAGAAATTAAAAAAAAAGAAGAAAAGAATAAACCTTATGAGTGGATGACAATCTTGCAAAATTACTGGCCAGCAAAACTTATGAGGCACGGCTGCACCTCTCATCATACATGTGACGACGATATATACTTGTAGTGGTTTAATATGGTTTTTTGTCGGTGACTTAAACGGTTTGCTGATATTCACTCGTTCAGTAAAAATAAAAGAGAGCAAATATTTTACATGAGAATTTTTTTCTTTTTAATAAACGATATTATTTACATTAATATAGTGAAAAAATGAGTTAAGTCTCTCAATATGTTAGCAATAACGTAATTTAAATTCGCTTTTGGAATATGATTGCAGCCTGACAAATAATGTTACCCGAACATTATTGTATATTTTTGTAACAAACAACCATACTGACAATATTTGTGTGTAGCGGTTTATTGGTTTCATCGGGTCTGGAGTGTTATTGCTCTGCCTAAACTATGCCAAAACGCCCGAGGCTGCAACAGTACTCGTCATAGCAGCCTTGTGCTTGAGCTCGTTTAGTCAAGCCCGCTTTCCTTAGGCCATCTCCAACCGAAGGGTCCAGAGGGCCAGAGGATCGAAAATAGCTCAAAAACCGTCTCTAACCAAGGACTAGGCCAGGGGGCTC